AAAAAAAAAAAATCCACTGCGCAGGCTCGAAGGGTTAATGACCTTTCCCAAATCATCGCTCGCGAAGACTGGCCATACTACCAAGCCAGGAGCAGCCTCTGTGAGAAATCAAGCCATGAATTATCCAGCCCCATGGCTAAAACTCACACCAGGGCCTCTGTGGGGGCTTTTTTCTTTGGTTTAGAAGCTGTAATATTAAAAAATTGTGAAAGTGACTGTGCTTATTTACGTAGTAGCACAGCACAGTTTGCTGCACATGCTGTGATGCTGAGCTAGGGATCTTGTGGGGATTTTGTGCAATGGACAAATGAACTGGGGCGGTGACCCTTCTAACAGGATCTCAGCAGAGACTCGCCTTCCAACTCTTCCTTCTCGTAGTGAATATTGGCAGCATTGCTCGTTCTTCCCTGATCAGTCGCTGCCTCTTCAGTGTGCCTCTGTACAGCAATGAGAAGGTAAAACCTGGGGCTGGGTGTGTACAGCTCCCCTGTGTCCTCCCAGCCATCATCCACCTCTGCCTCCAGGCGAATCCATAAGGATCACACCTCTACGTGCCTCCTCCTCCAGGCATGGTTCTAAAAACATGGACATGCCATAGTAGTTTTTCTCATATCCAAATTAAAAAGCCCATAACATCATATAACACATGCAGTGGGCATCTGGCAGTGTTTATTACAAGGGGAGAGGCTGAAAGTTTCAGACCAAAAATAAACCTCCTTTTTTGTTCCTGTGCTAATGAGAAAAAAACCCCAACCAAACACAAAAAAAAAAAAAAAACAAAACAAAAACCCCCTCCCCCCCAAAAAAAAAAAACAGCAAAAAACCAAACCTAAAAACAATGCTTTTGGCCACAGCAAGTTCCAGTCTCCCAATGTGACGCTCCCAATGTGCAGGACTCACTAGATTGCACTTGACCACAAGGATATGGCCATCAACAACAAAGGCCCTCAAGAACCTGCAAGGGGGAAGCTGCTTCTTCAGCCCAACAGAGCGCAGGCTTCCCTTGGTGAAAGCACACTTTTCATGGAAAACTTAATTTTTCTCTGCAGAAACCAAAGGCTGAGAGCTAATGCCCACTTTGCCAGAAATACCAGTGCCAGTGCTGCATGAAGAACGTTGGTGCCTTAAAAGCTAAAGGAGAACTAGAGGAGCAAACTGAAGTAAGTATTTTTGCTTCTCTTATCCCTTAGTAACCAAGGATGGGGAAGGGGATTACCAGAGTTACTAAGTTCGAAAAATAAAAAACCAGCCACGTCTCACATTCAAGACCAACATCAGGTTGAAGAAGGGCAGTCTAGAGCATAAGGCATGCTAAAGAGGGATGGACAGGCTGTGGCACAGGCTGTAGTGAACCATAACCATGTCCTTCTGGGACAATGCCTGCTGATCCAAAGGCAGCCTCAGTACCAAAGGCCTGCTCTGTCCTGCCCACGCTCCTCCTCTGCATGCACACAAATGCTGATGTGGACTTAGTTGTTGTTGTTGAAATAAAGTTGCCTGTTTTCACCATGAACCATGTTGGCAGTCCCACTCAGTCTCCT